TCTCTAGGGGCGCCTATCTTTAGGGGCGCCTATCTCTAGTGGCGCCTATCTCTAGGGGCGCCTATCTCTAGGGGCGCCTATCTCTAGGGGCGCCTATCTCTAGGGCGCCTATCTCTAGGGGCGCCTATCTCTAGGGGCGCCTATCTATAGGGGCCTATCTCTAGGGGCGCCTATCTCTAGGGGCGCCTATCTCTATGGGCGCCTATCTCTATGGGCGCCTATCTCTAGGGGCGCCTATCTCTAGGGGCGCCATATCTCTATGGGCGCCTAGATCTATGGGCGCCTATCTCTATGGGCGCCTATCTCTATGGGCGCCTATCTCTATGGCGCCTATCTCTATGGGCGCCTATCTCTATGGGCGCCTATCTCTATGGGCGCCTATCTCTATGGCGCCTATCTCTATGGGCGCCTATCTCTAGGGGCGCCTATCTCTAGGGGCGCCTATCTCTATGGGCGCCTATCTCTAGGGCGCCTATCTCTATGGGGCGCCTATCTCTAGGGGCGCCTATCTCTAGGGCGCCTATCTCTAGGGGCGCCTATCTCTAGGGCGCCTATCTCTAGGGGCGCCTATCTCTAGGGGCGCCTATCTCTAGGGGCGCCTATCTCTAGGGGCGCCTATCTCTAGGGCGCCTATCTCTATGGGCGCCTATCTCTAGGGGCGCCTATCTCTAGGGGCGCCTATCTCTAGGGGCGCCTATCTCTATGGGCGCCTATCTCTAGGGGCGCCTATCTCTATGGGCGCCTATCTCTATGGGCGCCTATCTCTATGGCGCCTATCTCTATGGGCGCCTATCTCTTTGGGCGCCTATCTCTATGGGCGCCTATCTCTATGGGCGCCTATCTCTATGGGCGCCTATCTCTATGGGCGCCTATCTCTAGGGGCGCCTATCTCTATGGGCGCCTTCTATGGGCGCCTATCTCTATGGGCGCCTATCTCTATGGGCGCCTATCTCTATGGGCGCCTATCTCTATGGGCGCCTATCTCTATGGGCGCCTATCTCTATGGGCGCCTATCTCTATGGCGCCTATCTCTAGGGCGCCTATCTCTATGGGCGCCTATCTCTATGGGCGCCTATCTCTAGGGGCGCCTATCTCTATGGGCGCCTTTCTCTATGGGCGCCTATCTCTATGGGCGCCTATCTCTATGGGCGCCTATCTCTATGGGCGCCTATCTCTATGGGCGCCTATCTCTATGGGCGCCTATCTCTATGGGCGCCTATCTCTATGGGCGCCTATCTCTATGGGCGCCTATCTCTTTGGGCGCCTATCTCTATGGGCGCCTATCTCTATGGGCGCCTATCTCTATGGGCGCCTATCTCTATGGGCACTATCTCTATGGGCGCCTATCTCTATGGGCGCCTATCTCTATGGGCGCCTATCTCTATGGGCGCCTATCTCTATGGGCGCCTATCTCTATGGGCGCCCTCTCTATGGGCGCCTATCTCTATGGGCGCCTATCTCTATGGGCGCCTATCTCTAGGGCGCCTATCTCTATGGGCGCCTATCTCTATGGCGCCTATCTCTATGGGCGCCTATCTTTGGCGCCTATCTCTAGGGGCGCCTATCTCTATGGGCGCCTATCTCTAGGGGGCCTATCTCTAGTGGCGCCTATCTCTAGGGGCGCCTATCTCTATGGGCGCCTATCTCTAGGGGCGCCTATCTCTATGGGCGCCTATCTCTAGGGGCGCCTATCTCTATGGGCGCCAATCTCTAAGGGCACCTATCTCTATGGGCGCCTATCTCTATGGCGCCTATCTCTAGGGGGGCTATCTCTATGGGCGCCTATCTTAGGGGCGCCTATCTCTAGGGGCGCCTATCTCTATGGGGCCTATCTCTATGGGCGCCTATCTCTATGGGCGCCTATCTCTAGGGCGCCTATCTCTATGGGCGCCTATCTCTAGGGGCGCCTATCTGTAGTGGTGCCTATCTCTAGGGGCGCCTATCTCTATGGGCGCCTATCTCTAGGGGCGCCTATCTCTAGGGGCGCCTATCTCTAGGGCGCCTATCTCTAGGGCGCCTATCTCTATGGGCGCCTATCTCTAGGGGCACCTATCTCTATGGTGCCTATCTCTATGGGCGCCTATCTCTATGGGCGCCTATCTCTAGGGGCGCCTATCTCTATGGGCGCCTATCTCTATGGGCGCCTATCTCTAGGGGCGCCTATCTCTAGGGCGCCTATCTCTATGGGCGCCTATCTCTATGGGCGCCTATCTCTATGGGCGCCTATCTCTATGGGCGCCTATCTCTATGGGCGCCTATCTCTATGGGCGCCTATCTCTATGGGCGCCTATCTCTATGGGCGCCTATCTCTATGGGCGCATATCTCTATGGGCGCCTATCTCTAGGGGTGCCTATCTCTGTGGGCGCCTATCTCTAGGTGCGCCTATCTCTAGGGCGCCTATCTCTAGGGGCGCCTATCTCTAGGGGCGCCTATCTCTAGGGGCGCCTATCTCTATGGGCGCCTATCTCTAGGGGCCTATCTCTATGGGCGCCTATCTCTATGGGCGCCTATCTCTAGGGGCGCCTATCTCTATGGGCGTCTATCTCTTGGGGCGCCTATCTCTAGGGGCGCCTATCTCTAGGGCGCCTATCTCTATGGGCGCCTCTCTTTAGGGGCGCCAATCTCTAGAGGCGCCTATCTCTATGGTCGCCCATCTCTAGGGGCGCCTACTCTAGGGGCGCCTATCTCTAGGTGCGCCTATCTCCAGGGGCGCCTATCTCTAGGGGCGCCTATCTCTAGGGTGCCTATCTCTAGGGGCGGCTCTCTCTAGGGGCGCCTATCTCTATGGGCGCCTATCTCTAGGGGCGCCTATCTCTATGGGCGCCTATCTCTTTGGGCGCCTATCTCTATGGGCGCCTATCTCTAGGGGCGCCTATCTCTTGGGGCGCCTCTCTATGGGCGCCTATCTCTATGGGCGCCTATCTCTATGGGCGCCTATCTCTAGGGGCGCCTATCTCTATGGGGCGCCTATCTCTAGGGGCGCCTATCTCTATGGGCGCCTATCTCTGGGGCGCCTATCTCTATGGGCGCCTATCTCTATGGGCGCCTATCTCTAGGGGCGCCTATCTCTAGGGGAGCCTATCTCTAGGGCGGCCTATCTCTATGGGCGCCTATCTCTAGGGGCGCTATCTCTAAGGGCGCCTATCTCTAGGGGCCTATCTCTAGGGGCGTCTATCCCTATGGGGCGCCTATCTCTAGGGGCGCCTATCTCTAGGGGTGCCTATCTCTAGGGGCGGCTATCTCTAGGGGCGCATATCTCTATGGGCGCCTATCTCTAGGAGCGCCTATCTCTATAGGCGCCTATCTCTATGGGCGCCTATCTCTATGGGCGCCTATCTCTATGGGCGCCTATCTCTTGGGGCGCCTATCTCTAGGGCGCCTATCTCTAGCGGCGCCTATCTCTAGGGGCGCCTATCTCTAGGGGCGCCTATCTCTATGGGCGCCTATCTCTATGGGCGCCTCTCTCTAGGGCGGCCTATCTCTAGAGGTGCCTATCTCTTTGGGCGCCTATCTCTAGGGCGCCTATCTCTATGGGCGCCTATCTCTATGGGCGCCTATCTCTATGGGCGCCTATCTCTAGGGGCGCTATCTCTATGGGCGCCTATCTCTAGGGGCGCCTATCTCTAGGGGGCCCTATCTCTACGGGCGCCTATCTCTATGGGCGCCTATCTTTAGGGCGCCTATCTCTAGAGGTGCCTATCTCTAGGGCGCCTATCTCTAGGGGCGCCTATCTCTAGGGGCGCCTATCTCTAGGGGCGCCTATCTCTAGGGGCGCCTATCTCTAGTTGCGCCTATCTCTAGGGGTGCCTTTCTCTAGGGGCGCCTATCTCTAGGGCACCTATCTCTAGGGCGCCTATCTCCAGGGGCGCCTATCTCTAGGGGCGCCTATCTCTAGGGGTGCCTATCTCTAGGGGCGCCTATCTCTAGGGGCGCCTATCTCTATGGGCGCCTATCTCTTGGGCGCCTATCTCTAGGGCGCCTATCTCTAGGGCGCTATCTCTATGGGCGCCTATCTCTAGGGGCGCCTATCTCTATGGGCGCCTATCTCTATGGGCGCCTATCTCTATAGGGCGCTATCTCTATGGGCGCCTATCTCTTTGGGCGCCTATCTCTATGGGCGCCTATCTCTAGGGGCGCCTATCTCTAGGGGCGCCTATCTCTATGGGCGCCTATCTCTATGGGCGCCTATCTCTAGGGGCGCCTATCTCTATGGGCGTCTATCTCTAGCAGCGCCCATCTCTATAGGCGCCTATCTCTAGGGCGCCTATCTCTAGGGGCGCCTATCTCTATGTGGGCGCCTATCTCTATGGGCGCCTCTTAGGGGCGCCTATCTCTAGAGGGCGCCTATCTTTTTGGGCGCCTATCTCTATGGGCGCCTATCTCTAGGGGCGCCTATCTCTAGGGGCGCCTATCTCTAGGGGCGCCTATCTCTAGGGGCGCCTATCTCTAGGGGCGCCTATCTCTATGGGCGGCTATCTCTAGGGGCGCCTATCTCTATGGGCGCCTATCTCTAGGGGCGCCTATCTCTATGGGCGCCTATCTCTTTGGGCGCCTATCTCTATGGGCCCCTATCTCTAGGGGCGCCTATCTCTAGGGGCGCCTATCTCTATGGGCGCCTATCTCTATGGGCGCCTATCTCTAGGGGCGCCTCTCTATGGGCGCCTATCTCTAAGGGCGCCTATCTCTAGGGCGCCTATCTCTATGGGCGCCTATCTCTATGGGCGCCTCTCTTTAGGGGCGCAAATCTCTAGAGGCGCCTATCTCTATGGGCGCCCATCTCTAGGGGCGCCTACCTCTAGGGGCACCTATCTCTAGGGCGCCTATCTCCAGGGGCGCCATATCTCTAGGGACGCCTATCTCTAGGGGTGCCTATCTCTAGGGGCGGCTATCTCTAGGGGCGCCTATCTCTATGGGCGTCTATCTCTAGGGGCGCCTATCTCTATGGGCGCCTATCTCTTTGGGCGCCTATCTCTATGGGCGCCTATCTCTAGGGGCGCCTATCTCTAGAGGGCGCCTATCTCTATGGGCGCCTATCTCTATGGGCGCCTATCTCTATGGGCGCCTATCTCTATGGGCGCCTATCTCTATGGGCGCCTATCTCTATGGGCGCCTATCTCTATGGGCGCCTATCTCTATGGGCGCCTATCTCTATGGGCGCCTATCTATAGGGGGCTATCTCTGGGGCGCCTATCTCTAGGGGCGCCTATCTCTAGTGGCGCCTATCTCTAGGGCGCCTATCTCTAGGGCGCCTATCTCTAGGGGCGCTATCTCTATGGCGCCTATCTCTAGGGGCCTATCTCTATGGGCGCCTATCTCTATGGCGCCTATCTCTAGGGGCGCCTATCTCTATGGGCGCCTATCTCTATGGGCGCCTATCTCTAGGGGCGCCTATCTCTATGGGCGCCTATCTCTATGGGCGCCTCTCTTTAGGGGCGCCAATCTCTAGAGGCGCCTATCTCTATGGCGCCATCTCTAGGGGCGCCTACCTCTAGGGGCACCTATCTCTAGTGGCGCCTATCTCTAGGGGCGCCTATCTAAGGGCGCTATCTCTAGGGGCGCCTATCTCTAGGGGCGGCTATCTCTAGGGGCGCCTATCTCTATGGGCGCCTATCTCTAGGGGCGCCTATCTCTATGGGCGCTATCTCTTTGGGCGCCTATCTCTATGGGCGCCTATCTCTAGGGGCGCCTATCTCTTGGGGCGCCTATCTCTATGGGCGCCTATCTCTATGGGCGCCTATCTCTATGGGCGCCTATCTCTATGGGCGCCTATCTCTAGGGGTGCCTATCTCTATGTGGCGCCTATCTCTGTGGGCGCCTATCTCTATGGGCGCCTATCTCTAGGGGCGCCTATCTCTATGGGCGCCTATCTCTATGGGCGCCTATCTCTAGGGCGCCTATCTCTAGGGGCGCCTATCTCTAGCGGCGCCTATCTCTAGGGCGCCTATCTCTAGGGGCGCCTATCTCTAAGGGCGCCTATCTCTAGGGGCACCTATCTCTAGGGGCGTCTATCCCGAGGGGCGCCTATCTCTAGGGGCGCCTATCTCTAGGGGTGCCTATCTCTAGGGGCGGCTATCTCTAGGGGCGCCTATCTCTATGGGCGCCTATCTCTAGGGGCGCCTATCTCTATGGGCGCCTATCTCTTTGGGCGCCTATCTCTATGGGCGCCTATCTCTAGGGGCGCCTATCTCTTGGGCGCCTATCTCTAGGGCGCCTATCTCTAGGGCGCCTATCTCTAGGGGCGCCTATCTCTAGGGGCGCCTATCTCTAGGTGCGCCTATCTCTATGGGCGCCTCTCTTTAGGGGCGCCAATCTCTAGAGGCGCCTATCTCTTTGGGCGCCTATCTCTAGGGGCGCCTATCTCTATGGGCGCCTATCTCTAGGGCGCCTATCTCTATGGGCGCCTATCTCTAGGGGCGCCTATCTCTATGGGCGCCTATCTCTAGGGGCGCCTATCTCTAGGGCGCCTATCTATATGGGCGCCTATCTCTATGGGCGCCTCTCTTTAGGGCGCCTATCTCTAGAGGCGCCTATCTCTATGGGCGCCTATCTCTAGGGGCACCTATCTCTAGGGGCACCTATCTCTAGGGGCGCCTATCTTTAGGGGCGCCTATCTCTAGGGCGCCTATCTCTAGGGGCGCCTATCTCTAGGGGCGCCTATCTCTAGGGGCGCCTATCTCTAGGGCCGCCTATCTCTAGTCTCAACTATCTTTACTGGCGCCTATCTCTAGGGGCGCCTATCTCTAGGGGCGCCTATCTCTAGGGGCGCCTATCTCTAGGGGCGCCTATCTCTATGGGCGCCTATCTCTTGGGCGCCTATCTCTAGGGGCGCCTATCTCTAGGGGCGCCTATCTCTATGGGCGCCTATCTCTAGGGGCGCCTATCTCTATGGGCGCCTATCTCTATGGGCGCCTATCTCTATGGGCGCCTATCTCTAAGGGCGCCTATCTCTTTGGGCGCCTATCTCTATGGGCGCCTATCTCTAGGGGCGCCTATCTCTAGGGGCGCCTATCTCTATGGGCGCCTATCTCTATGGGCGCCTATCTCTAGGGGCGCCTATCTCTATGGGCGCCTATCTCTAGGGCGCCCATCTCTATAGGCGCCTATCTCTAGGGGCGCCTATCTCTAGGGGCGCCTATCTCTATGTGCGCCTATCTCTATGGGCGCCTATCTCTAGGGGCGCCTATCTCTAGAGGCGCTATCTTTTGGCGCCTATCTCTATGGGCGCCTATCTCTAGGGGCGCCTATCTCTAGGGCGCCTATCTCTAGGGGCGCCTATCTCTAGGGGCGCCTATCTCTAGGGGCGCCTATCTCTATGGGCGGCTATCTCTAGGGGCGCCTATCTCT